CTCCCGACTGAGAAGGCCCACGGCCCCGAGGGGAGCCGCTCTCAGCACCGGCCAGCGCTCCGAGGCCGGCGCAGATGCTCGGAAGGGGGCCTCTCTCCACCCGGAAGCCGCAGGGCTCGCAGAGCAGCCTTTCCCGAACACCCACCACGTTTCCGACAGGAGGCCTGCGAGAGCCAGAAGAATGACTCAGCAGCCAGCGGCAGAGGGATGCAGTGATTTGCTGATCGAGCGTCTCAGGTCTCTGTGGTAAATAAGCAGCTTCCAGGACAATAACCCGACGTCCCTCCTCTGTGTGTCTGGTGTGACACAGCTCTCTGAAGGACAGGATTTTGAAAAGAAATCACTTTTATGTCTGAGTATTATAAAGAGGCCACTGGGTTACCACAGCTGTTTCAAAATTGTAGAAACACACTAAAGCCCTTAAAAAAAAAAAAAAAAAGATTTAAGCTTAAAAAATAAAAATCTGTTGTAGGGCAATTATATTTCAATAAAAATAAACCATTTGTGCCTTAAAAAAACAAAAAACATATGCTTTTAAAAGTAAGAAACAAGTATTTTTCTAATTAGGACATCCCATTAATGAAAACAAACACAGAACACCCACGTCTGAGTTGCCCTCTGACTCACCCAGGAGTCCGGCCCTATAAGACCCCGCCACACAGGGCGCCTGGGGGGCTCAGTCAGTGACACGGGGTCTTCGGCTCAGATCATGATCTCAGGCTCCTGAGATCGAGTCCAGCATCGGGCTCCCTACTCGGCGGGGAGCCTGCTTCTCCCCTGTGCTCTCCATGTCTCTCTCTCTCTCAAATAAATAAAATCTTTAAAAGACAAATAAACAGAAGACCCTGCTGCACAAGTGGGTCCTCTGTCCCCTGATCCCGGCTCCACTCTGCCCGGCGGCCGTCCACTGGGGCTGCGCCACGCTCGGCCACGTGCTGCTCCCCGCGACCTCCTCAAAGGGCTCTGTGTCTAGCTTCGAAGAAGGGCCAAGGAGGGACTTCTGAGCCAACCCGGGGAAGTGTCCCTGTCTGTGCACCCGGTCCCCCCAGCAGCGCCTGGAAGGACGAGCCCGCGGTACAGGGACCGGCACGGCCCATCCCGGAGCACTCCAGTCGCCCGCCCCGTCCGCCACCGGGGAAAGCAGCTTCAGAAAGACTCAAGTCGCAACACCCAGAATCACAATTAAGCACAATCCGAATCTGCGGTTCCCTGCAAGGACGAAAAGCATCTGCCTGCAGTCACCGCAGCCCGCCTTCCGTTCCCCAAGGAGAGCACCGCCGCGGGCCGGAGCCCCTCCAAAGACCCTCACAGACATTCTCATTACCACGGCCAAGCGTTAGCACCACAGAAAAACAGCTTCCATCACTGCCTATCTTGGTTTGCTCAGACGACCGCACTCGGGTGTAAACTCTGACCATCGGACACCACACGCCCGCTCCGCGCGCCCGGAGGACACAGACGGGTGACGGATTCTCCGAGCCCGGAGCGCGCGCACGTGGGCCGGCCGTCAGCAGAAGCAACTGACAGGGCAGTGACTCTCCGAGTGCGGAGGGACCGGGCCCTGCTTCGGGGGTCGTGGCTGGCTCTGGGCCACGGGGGGCCTCTCCAAATGCAAGCGCGAGTCGTCGCAGGGACGGTTCCTCAGGCACCACCCGGATCCTCGTTAACTGAAAAGACCTTTACGGCGCCTGCATCCATCCGGCCCGGTGACACTCAGACCTCACCACGAACCACCCACAACAAACGCAGACGGGCCCCAGCAATCCTACGTTCTTCTTAAAAGCATACGGATTGCATATAAAATAATCCCACTTTTATCTTCAATACCTGAGGCCCAAAACAGGTAACTGGTGGAAGGACTTTGTGACTTGGTGTTAACCCACTTCTAGTTTGTTTTGGAGACTTTCCCTCTTCTACGTTCACCCACTGCCCACACTTGACACAGGTTTTAATTACTTTCGTGTCTACATATTCGTAACTTGCAAATTAAACTTTATTTTTTTCACTGATGTACTGGTATCAAATTCTTATTCTTTACTTCTCCCCAAAATTTCATCTTAGTCGTTTTCAACTATTGTCCTACTTCTTTAAAAATCACTTGTACAGGGGCGCCTGGTGGCTCAGCCGTTAAGTGTCTGTCTTCGGCTCTGGTCATGATCCTGGGGTCCTGGGATCGAGCCCCACGTCGGGCTCCTCACCTGGTGGGGGGAGAGTCTGCTTCTCCGTCTGCCTGCCACTCCCTCTGCTTGTGTGTGTGCTCGCTCCCTGTCTCTCTGACAAATAAATAAAATCTTAAAACAAGAGGCACTATTTAAAACCATGCCTAGGAGGGAACAGAGAAAGGACCGTCCCTTCTATTCCTCTTCCGTCAGTGTCTGCATCTAATGGTTTTACTAACAGTATCAACGCACCTTGTGCTGAAGCCCAGCACGTGCGTACTCTAGAATGATTTCATTCTACGTCACCTGTACCTGTATCTTTAAAGCCAGGAAACCTGAGTGATTCGGACGGACTAGGTTAAACATCTGCGTCCGAGCCAGAAAACTTGCCTTTCGCTCTGCCACTTGTCAATACACGTGGAGAAAACCAGAGCAGGTCGGGGTCACAGCCAGATCACAGCACTCCCACTCAGGGAAGAGCTGATGGGGCCTCCCCACGAGCCTGAAATCACGAAAACACTGAGGAGGGTCAGAAATGCTAGGGGCTTCCCTCAGCCGGGCAATGCCTTTCTTTATCCAAGCAGCCCCTCCGTCATCAGACCGCCCGAACCCCGGAGGGACGTGGCACACCAGTCTGGGGGCACCGCCACCCTCCTCCCCATCTGCCAGCTTCATCGTTAAAACTATGGGAAATGCCAAGGGGCTCCTAAGGCATGCCTAGGTCACCGTCGTCTTGTCCTACTTTGCAAGATGGGGACAGTTAATACGACTGGCCCAGCTCAGCCCGAGGCAGCCTGTGGCACGCAGAGGCCTGTGCTCCCCACCGCGCACACCGCTCTGGAGAGAGAAGGAATCCCGAAACAAGCCGTCACAGGTGCCCTCCTCAGCCCTCGGGCTGATGCTGCCCCACTGGAACCGTCACAAGGAATCAGTGGCAAAGGATCCGAACGGATCCTCCCCGACTCACGGAGATCAGCTCTTCCAAACACCGCTGAGAAAGTGACAGGCTCGGGAGGACCGCCCTCCGTGCAGACCAGCGTCTGGCGTACGAGCTGGAGGCAGCGTGTCCTTCCTTCTCTTCCTACCCCTCGGAGCAGCGGTTCCCAATGGAGGTTCCGGGGGTGGGGGTGAGCGGGCGAAGTGCTGAAACCCAGTGGGGTACGACGGGTCGTCACCTCACAAGACACCACCTCGATGTGGCGTGTACGCCACGAAGGCTAAGACATCGTCGGTACGTGAGGCGTTCGCATCTAACAAAAGGTCTTGCCTTCAAATGTCCCCGGCACTCACATGAGAGAACAAAGGATTCTAACAACGTCCCGAGTCTGAAATCTCGTGCTACCCTGCGTTTCCACCCAAGATATTTCTGGATAGTTTTACTACAACAAATCTTCTAGTAATTCAACTGTGGTTCAAGTCTAGAAAAAAATTACATTTTGCTTTATTTGAAACTTCATCAAAAACCGCTCATCTTGTAAGATTCCATGACGACTGGTACCTGAGTTCCCAGGCGGTGTGGCCTAGTGCGACAGCCCTCCCCGTCGCTGGGACTCGGCAGACGGGGTTTGGGCAAATGGCCTGCTCACTGCCTCCTTGGGTGTTTCCTTCAACCATTTACAACCCAAAACACACGCTATTTCATTATACCTTCTACCTTTTATTTCTCCTCATGTTACAATTAAGACGTTATACTCCCTTTTCCGTTATAAACTCTACTTTCTCAACATTACTTTTGAGGGTACGAAGGCATGACAGGAAAACTATTCTGAACCAAAGGCTGGGGCTGAGTGTCCCTGCCTGCAGAGCACACGCTCAACCAGTGTCCACTGGGGGAGGACACACAGACGCGGGCAGGAGACCTGTCTCAGAGAATACCACAACCATCCCCCCTCAGGGACAGAGATCAGGTGTGAGGCCACACAGGGATCCCAACACAGGAGGACACTATCCATTAAACCCACAAGGCAGGGGTCATCCACAGCTGTCCCGGACAACGCAGGACAGGGGCCGCCTTCAAGGTGAAGCCTCGTCGTGAGTACCCCCAAACCACACCAGGAACCCCTCCCCAACCCCACATTCCCCGGAAAAAGTGCATCAAGGCCCTCCTGCTGCTCCTGTCCCCAGGGCACGTGGGCAGGGGAGCCCAGCAAACACTGGCGGCGAGGCCCCCGCAAACACGCTTCAAGCGCTCGTCAGCTACAAGGACTAATTCTGCCACCGCCACACACTGGACGTCCTTGGAGCCGGCTGCGGGGACAAGCACAGGTGCCAGACTGAGCCTCAGCTCCTCGCAGGGGCTCCGGCATCTCGCGGGCGCCGAGGACAGACATCCATGAACAGGCCAAACACTGCGAGGCACCTTTCCCGTCTAAGCAAATCCTTTACCAAGTTCCAACTCAAACAGTGCCTGAAGGACCACACACATCACTGGCTTTAGATTCCAAATAAAAAGAAGAAAAAGGCACAGAAACAACTACTGATGTGAAGGGAAAATCGGGTGACTCGAGTGAAATGGATAAGCACGACCGGGGTGCACACAGGCCAGGTAGAGCCGAGAGGAAGGGGAGGAATGCACATCTTCGAGGACCCAGTGGCCCCGGCCCAGAGAGAGGATGTGCAGTGAGGCTTCTGTCCGACAGAGACCGGGGGAAGGACCTCAAGGCACTGGGCTGGGCGTCCCGCGTGCGGCTTGTGGCTGTGACGAAACGAGTCGCCCAGCCATGCACAAGGTGACGTGAACAGCCGAGCTGGAGGGCCAGGGGGCCGGGTAGCCAGGGGGCCGGGGAGCCCGGGGGCTGGGGGGCCAGGGAGCAGGCGGCCCACCCTCCGCTGGGCTCTTACCATCGCACTTTGTTGCACGTCTGGGTCGCACCAAGAGGGGAGCCCGCCACCATGGGGACCTGGATGGGGCTGTGCTGCTTGTTGGTGACCAGGTCCAGCTTCTCTTCTAACGACCTGCACGTGGCCTCGAGAGCCTGCAGCTTGGCCTCGATGCCGTCCAGCCGCAAGCATATCGTCTGGTTAATGGAGTACAGGAACGACTGCAAGAGGAAAGGGGACACCACTCAGGAGGGGTGTCGCGGCCACCGGGGACAGCGGCACAGACCCCGCTCTAGAGGCCCTGATCCCAAAAGTGTCCGCTCCAGCAGAACGGCCCCTGCCCCTGGGCTCCTTTGTTTCTAGGGGCAACAGGTGCGCAGAACAGGGGCCGCGCGCCGGCCCCTCGGGTGAGCCCAGTCCGTGGCAGGAGCAGTGGCGGGGTGCAGGGTGTGCTCCGGGCGACAGGCTCCGGGCGACAGGCTCCGGGCGACAGGCTCCGGGCGACAGGCGGGCACGCGCACACGCAGGCCGGGCCATCTAGCCGGGGAGGCGGCACACGGAGCGGCCACAGCCAAGCGCTTGTGCACAGCAAGCCTGCCACCCAGTGGCCAGCCCGGCACCTCCAGCCACAGCACTGCAGCTGCCTCCTACCCGCAAGGCCCCAGGCCCTGCCGCCAGCCCACCCTGGGCCAGGAGAGCCCCTGGCTTCCCTGCCACCAGCCCCTGGGGCGGAGACACTGCACGTACCCCCGCATCTGCACCCACGAGCACCCACGCCGGTCGCTGCAGCCCAGGCAATGCTCGGCAACTGGGAACTCGCTGGCGCTCTCCTCCCCTGTCCCCGAGATGGGGGTGGGGCAGAAAGGGCGCGGGGCTGCGGGGACCAGGGCACAGGGAGCAGGGCTGCAGTGCACGGGGAGCACACGGGCTTCTCGAGAATCCACAGGCTTGGCTGACGGGCTGGCCCGCCGAGTGGGGCAGCCCCACAGTGATCACAGCAGCCCTCCCCAAGACGAGTCTTCACACGCGGCTGCCAGGCGCAGGGAAGGCTGCCCCACGTCCTCCAGGAGGAGGCAAGCACGCAGGGCATCGTGACCACGGTGGGAAGTGCAGAGAGCCTGGCGGGCCCTGTAGATGCCGCACACCCTGGGCCACCACAGAGCTCCAAGCTCCAGCCTCAGCGAGCAGCCAGCGAGGCCATGGGGGGAGCCCCTCCCGGGCAAGGGGGCCCCTGGGGCAGTGCAGGGGTGCGGGCACCCCTGGCAGGACAGGACGCGCAGGGAGGAGCTCACCTTGATGGAGGGGTCCTGGCAGTTGATCTCCAGGCGCTGGCGCTTCAGGGCCGGCTCGTCGTCGTCCGCCACCACATGGTTCTCCAGCACGACTGCAAACCGACGCAGACACGGCAGGGGTGAGCGCTGTGATCGCTGGCGTCCGGCCTCAGGCGTGCACAGAGTCTGTCCTAGCTCTCATGGACCAAAGAGCTGCACGCCGCTCCCGGGGCTCTGTGCAGCTCCCCCACCTGACTCCCAGCTTCATGAAACCCAAGGACAGTAAGGACTTCTGTCCACGTCAAAGGCCTGTCGGTGGCGACCTCATCCAGAAATCAAACCCCTGGGTGCATACGCCGCCTTCCTACGCAGACATGACACGGTCACACCCACAGCCTCCCTGCCCCTGTGCAGCCGGCCACCCAGCCCCTGCGTGGGGGACCAGCAGCTCTGACCAGTCAGTGCCGACCGCCTTCCCTCCATCCCAAGGTCACTACAAACTCAACACTGAAGATCAACACACAATCAAACCCCACAACGGGCCACAACCAGATCCCCTCCTGAGGCACACGTCCCTCCATCCCTGAGCCCTGGCCCCAGACCCGGTCAACCTCAAAACACAGGCGGACCTGCAGCAGCACACAGAACTCCAGGTTCGCCATCTGTCTCCACGTCACAGCACGAAGCCCCTTCCGTCTCACTGCAGTGTTTCTCCTCGTCCTCTCCCTGCCCACGGTCCCCAGAGCACCCATCCCGTGTGTTTCTCCTCCTCCTTCCTGCGTGGCCACACGTGGCCGCAGACATAGCGCAGAGACACCCGCCTGCTCTGCAGCTTCAACCGACTTTCTCACGGTAAAGCAGTCGGGGACCCCAGCCCAGAATGATGACTGGTACGTGAGAACACACCGGAGTACGCGTAGAACACACAGTACAACGGGGTGTAAGTGTGCGCCTGTAAGCACACGCGAGGGCACACACGCTCTGGGTACCATCTGTCCACCCTCCGTGTGCACCTCACACTCCAGTCAAGCAGGACAGACTCACCGGGACAGGCACCCCCGTCGGCCTTGTTCCGACGGCGCTCCTCTCCCCGGCCTTCCCAGGACCACCCACGCCCAATCACCTCCACTCGGAAACGGAGCCGCGGTCCCCGCAGCCCCGCGTGGAGTCTGGAACTCAAGCCAGCTCTCACCTGCCACCAGCTGGGACAAAGGGCCCATCCCCCGAGCAGAGAGCTCCCCTGCCCCCTCTGCACAAAGCCGCCCACACACGGGACCTGTGAGTCCTCCTGTGCTGAGGGAGGGCTGGGGGAAAGCCAGGTGCCGGGCCTCACCACCACCTAAGCATGTCGCGTGGACAGGAGGCTCCGAGGTTCCAAATCACATCTCAGTTTTGTAAGCGTCAATGCCTCTAAACCTGTACATACCAGATGACCCAATGAGAAACCAATGATAAACAGTCCCAAGGCTCAAACACAAGCCTTTCGTGGGTTCTAGGCAAGGCTTTACCTAGAGGGAAATCATCCAGAGCTGCGCCTTGCGGAAACCAGCTAGAACAAGCAGCTTCCCACTGCCCGAAGGGCTGTGCGCCGTACCCTGTGGCTCCCGCGCAGCAGGGAAGGCCTCAACCGCCTCTGCGGAAATGTGGGGGAAGGAACTCTCATTTAATTAAGTAAAAAAAGGGAAAATCCAGGCCACCACAAGTGTTTGTGGTTAGCAAAGTACAGGTTCTCAAAACCTTAGTCTGTTTGTTCCCCCTGGAAACTGGTGAATTGTACCAGGACTGGAAGACAGAGCGATCCTGGCACTCATGACGCGACTTCTTTTCATCTGCTGCAGAGGAAGCAAGTCCAGTGAGGGTAAGTGACTTATCCAGGGCCACACAGCTTGTTCCCGTAACGGAAGAGAAGACGCCCCGCAGCAGCGAGAACACCTCAAGGCTTTGAGCAAAGGGCAGCAAAGCAGCCCCACAAAAGGATGTGGGCCCACGGCCAACAACAAAGGTAGACACACCGGCCATTCCAGCACGGCTAGCTCGGCCGGGGCAGCTGTCCTGTGCTACACTTGCACAAACGACCGGCACTGCTTTGTATAATTTTGCACACGTTATTTTTGGAATCAGGTAGAAGAACTCAGCGTTCATGTTAAAGCCGTGACAATCAGCTGAAGGCCAGGCCCGATGGAGGGCAGTCTGTGCCCACACCAGGGAGCTTGGGTGGGCGGCCACATGGGGAGGACGTGCAGGTTCAGAGAGACCGGAGCATCAGAAAGGAGACAAACGCTCACGCCCATAAGCAGTTCTACTGCGAGGATCACGGGACATTTTTATTTCTTCCACTTGCTTAACCACCTCTAAATTTGACTAAGTTCATGCTACAGAGATGAAGGAAAAAAATCCTCTCCCTCCTAAGCCCACTCTGGAGGCCCACGTGTGTGCCCCGTGGGACATGCCGGGTGCGTGCGAGTTCTCCGGGCCAGAGATCGGAAGCCGTCTGTCTACGCGGGCTTCAGAGAGCCCAGCGCACGCGGTCTCACCGAACAGCCAACTATGATCCCGGTCACTCTGGGAACGGAGACTGGACAAAACCAAGCCTTCTTTGACCCATAATCTACAAAGAAAGAATTTACTTGGGTAGTAAACTACAGAGACCTTTAAGAATTCTAAAAAAGTTTAAAATCTACGTAACTGGAACAAGTTTCTCGCATAACATCACAGTGTGTGTTTTGTAAAGACACAGTCATTCACCTACCAAAATATGAAGTTATTTTTCAAATTTTTATGGACAGTGATAGTGTTTCCACCTTATTTTTTTGCTTTTTTTGTCTTCTGCGCTCGTGGCACCGGAGGCGTGGTTCTGAGGCAGCCCGGCCGGCGGCCACAGGGAAGCCGCGCACACGGCTCCACTCCACGCGCCGACCCTGTTCGTGACCTGACAGACTCTTGATCTGACCAGCCACCGGGTGACAGTGGTTCTTACAAACAAATTAGAGGCAAAATCAGAGGAAAAGCACAGCACCCATGAAGAGCGCCTCTACTCTGTGACTGGTCCTCCCCTTGTAACATCATTTACACGGCTCTCCCTCCCAGGGCACAACTAAGCTCCAAATAGGTTTTTTTCTTTTTCCCCCAGTGAAGGTTTTTTCAATTAACATATCAAATAGCTCATAAAAGACAGATATCATGGTACTCTCTTAGGAGATTTCCGAAAATTCTCTTTTCTGTGGGGAAAAAAGGTCAGCATTTCAATTCTATGATTCCAAAACCATAACCAGGCAGCTAACACACTCAGTGATTCTGTTACGTGCACTTCTCACTTCAAACCATAAAAAAGAAAAGAAAGGAAAAGAAATTTACAAAGAAATCTTCTAAAATAAATGTGCGGACAAAGTTTTTTCATAGGTGAAATCCCTGAAACTTAGGGTTTCTTTTATAAAGAATCTTCTCAAAACAAATATTTAAAAACTTTCAAAGTAGATATGTGCTTTTAGCGTCATTAAGAAAAACTACCCGTCTTAATGAAAGTATAGAATAAAAAGTTCTCCCAGTCAATGAAAGAATGACTTAATAAACATTTCTGGAAAATCTGTCACTTCTTATCGAAACTCTGAACACACGTGGAAACTCTACTTCCGGGAACTTACCCTGCAAAACTATTTGCTAAGAGACGGAGCAAGGCCCTTTATCGCAGATGATGCCGACAGGGAAGAGGTCCGTCAGCCGGGTGCCTGAGGCAGACTGGTACACCCAACAAAGCACCTGCACTAACGAATTCTAAGAAGCGGAGGTCATGAGGAGGACAGTGGTGGAACCCCAAGTGTCAGGGGACGGCCACAGGTGGGGGAGGGATGGGGGGAAGAGCCTGTGGGGACCGGGGGCTGCCCCTTAGGAAGGACAGATGTGGGGCCGAGGCCTTCATTTTCCACCATCCGCACACACATCACTTTCTTGCCCTGTTTTAAAGGAAAGACCACTCCTGTCAGCGCTCCTGGACTTCCGGGGAGGAGAGACGAAGACACCGCCCAGCGGCCCTCAGCGCCGTACCTGGGTGACCGGGACTCAGGTCTTCCACGGCAATCTGCACCACGTCCGCCAGGTCCTGTTCTGACATCATCCAGAGGGAGAGAAGAGTGGCCGGGCAGTGGGCAGGAACCAAACTCACGCAGGACCGGGTTTCTGCCACCTAAGAAACCAAGACAGACAGGGACAGGGAGATCACAAGCGTGACCTGTGACATGAGGCCAACTGCCAACTGTGTGTGTCCCAGAGCACGTCAGGTGCTAGGCACCATTGGATATGGGGTTCTCCTCGCTTCAGACCCCCGAACGACAGGGTTCCCTGAGAGGCAAGAAGCAGTTCACAAACACGGCTCAGGGCCTCCGTCCTTAACCACTAGATCAGCCCCTACCTGACAGCCTCCCGCTTCCCCGGCCCACTCCTCCTCACACCACCTGCCAAGTCAGCTGCCTGTGATGGCCTGACTGTGCCGTCCCCAAGCCAGGAGTCTCAGGGGTCTCCTACCTCCCCCACAGTACTGTTCTGCCCTTCCTGCTACACACACCACAACCTGGAGAATTACTGGAGAACTGACACATGCCCACTGCCGGTCTCCAGTAACACGCTGCCCACCTCCTGGATTGTCCCTCCATGGGCCCTGCCACCCTCGAGGCGGTGCCCACGTTCCCTCTCTGCTACCCAGATCGCCCTCCCACTAAGCACCTCTGTTCGCTGCCCTCTGGCTTCCAGGGCAGACCCAAACCATGGCACCACCCCAGGACCATGGCCCCGGGAGCATCCCATCCCCACGTGCCCTCAGGAGCAGGGGTTTGAGCTGTCACCCCGGAGCCAAAAACCATCTCCGGAACAGTCAGTTCCTTTCTTCTTGCTCTTGAAAAGCTTTGATTAGGCCAAGAAGGACCTTCTCTTCCAAAACAAAAACGAGGTCATAGGATGCCAGGCGTGGCCTGTCGACAGCTGGACCGAACCATGCTACTTAAGAATGGGCTGCCCCGGAGCCCTCCGGGGTCAATGTCGCCATAATGTTTTTGCATATTTATCCTCAGTTATTTGTGTCTACAAGTTTTTAATACACATTATTTCTTGCTCGTCTGCCAACTAGAGTACATGCTCTCCGGGGACAGGAAGCACACCCTGAACTCTCTGGCATGGCCCTCGTCACCAGGACGTCTCACAATCCCGAGTCCCTGCTCCCGTGGGGCAGGGAGGCGTCCAGTCAAAATTTCAGATCACCTGGTTTCACCTAGGTGTCTAAGGACACCTTTTAATGAGCCGGTTCCAGCAGGCGCAAGAGCCAACCTGCAGGTGTCCCACGTGTGCTTACATCCTCGGAGAAAATGTGCTTCCTCTTCTCTTTCATCCAGATCTTAACTCTACAGAACTTCTTAGAGACAAATTCGTAGAAGAAGGAACCAAGCTCCTGTCTTACCTCTTCCTTTAGAGAGTATGGGCAACATTTTTACATGAACGCGTTCTCGAAATCGCAAAGGCATTTTTATTCTCCACGGACACACCTGACAGGATGCTGAATGAGAGGCCCAAGCACCAACTGTCCACAACAAAGGGGAAACTGATGACACACTGTGGGGGGGAGGGGGGAGGAGGCCTTGCAGGCAGCACAGAACCTGGTAGGACCCTCAGTGGAAAGATGGTGATGACAGAGGTTTTGAACCCCCGCCTCCCCCCATAAAACCACGTGAGCAGCTAGGCTAGCAAGACCCACGTCCAGGTCAACACCTGTAACGAGATGGTGTGATGAGGTTTTCCTTACGAGCCCCAAAATACCAGCACAGGGGGACAAAGGCCTGACAGCGACAAGGTCACCGGGAGGGAGGCTACAGGTCACCGGGGGGGAAGCAGATGGGAGCAGGAAGCAGAGAGCCGCGGCGCCGGAACCAGGACCAAGCACCACCCAAGGGCAGAGGATGGCGACGGGCTTGCAGAAGTGTCCAGAAGGCCTAGCACAGTCCAGACCCCAGGAACTCTCAGAGCTAATCATCTAACTATCCAAAGCTCCCCTCAGGCCACATCCACAAAAACGAAATGACTGGGGACAGAATATCCAGTCAGGACAGGAAGAGAGAGAGACAGGGAAATGGAGTCTGACTGAAGGTGGGAGAGAGAGGGAGCCTGGCTGGCTCCGTTGGCGGGACAGGAGACTCGATCACGGGGTTGTGAGTTCAAGCCCCACTCAGGGCACAGAGTGTACTTTAAAAAAAAAAAAAAAAAAAAAAAAAAAAGGTGGGGGAGAAAAGCAGAACCAGGAGAGCTCACAAGATAAGCTGCTGTGCCTTTTAACACTTTCTAACGTCGATGGCATAAAGGACCCTAGACACCGAAATTAGAAAATCTATTCTAAACCATGCCTCCCTTCTAAACATTCAGGAAAATTAATTCTACATGAAAAGGAACAACAGCAGATACTGAAGACCAATCTCATGCAAAGATAACGTAATCTAAGAATAAGGAAAAAGCAACGCCACCACAGACCACGACAGCCCACTTGAAGACAAGCACTGAAGGGAGGCGAAACCCTTCCCCCTGAAGTGCACCAAGGACAGGGCTTATGGGGAGCCCCAGGGCGGCATCAGAAGGTGCAGACGGGCAGGGACGGGGTCAGGAGAGCTCAGACATAAACGAAACGAGACGCCCAGGAGCAGTAAACACGGGGAAACTGCGCCTAAGAAACAAAAGGAGAAAAGAAGGAAATTTTTAAGAAAGAGAAAGAGATGAAGGAGAAGAGTTCAAGAAGGAGGAGCCCAGACGGTGGCCGAGGCCCACTGGCACGGGGAGAGGCGCTCTGAAGAGGAAAACCAAGGCCAAACCCAGGGAAATGGAGTGCCCAGAAGTGTGAGTCAAGACGACTCTCTGGAAAGGATCGTCTGAAACGACTTACCAAAAAGACACACCACAAACCCAGAGAGGGGGGCGGAAAACAGACACCCAACCCCAAGACACATTCTAGTAAAAATATTATTGAAAGAAAAAGAGGAATTCCTTTACACATCCAGGCAAAAAGACCAGGTGACTTAAAATGGAAAAAAGATTATCAAACTCCAACAGAAAAAAAACAGATGAGCATGTCTAAGATACTCAAAGAAAGGAACATGGGCCGAGCATTTTGTATGCAGACAAAATGACTTCCAAGCGTAAAGGCGACAAACATTTCTTGCCACCTAGCGCTAGAGGAGTACGTTCCCATGAGCCCTCCCTGAGAAAACGGCTAGAAAACAAACCGGAAAAGCAAAAGCAGCTGAAGAAACCGGTGAGAACCGGTGAGCAGTGAGCACACTGTATTCACAAGCAGAACCAAGTGAGGAACATAAGGGAGCCGTACCCCACGACGGCTGCGTGCTCTGAGATACAAATAACCGGCCTCCAAATGGGGAGGAAACTGGAGGAATGTGCACAGAACAAGGGCCAACAATCGTCCGCGGTCACGTCGACCGGCAGCATCGGAATCCCCTTCTCAGAATGTTCTGTGTTCAGATGAGCACTTCTGGGACATTCCAACCTCATCACTCTCCGTGTCCTTGAGGCCCAGGACGAGGAACCCAGAGGTCAGGCAGACACCTGGGGCTGTGAGTGGGCGGCAAGTGTGAACTCGAGTGTGCCATGTGTCTGTGTGCACACTCAACTCTCTCCAGCGAAGAAAGATGAAGAGACCGTGGTCAGACCGGTAGCGACGGGCGTCCCTAGAGCCCACGCTGTGATGCGGCAGTGACAAGTCCCACCCGAGGAGAGCGGGGCCTCCCAGAGGAACCGCTGACTCCAGAACTGAGACAAGGGATACGCAGAATGAGCCCAGGACAGCGAGCCAGGCCAGAGGGAAGGAAGGTACGACAGACATTAGGGCTCTATCAATGGACTCACGGCCAACACGAAGAGCTCCTCCTCGGGCAAAGATGGACAAAAGACCGAACATCAACAAGGATAACTATGTCATGGACTTAAGAAAGTATTTTTAAGTTCACGACATCATGATACCAACAACAAAAGTCACCCTCGGAAGGTGCCAGGGAATGAAATCTTTAATTTTTTAAAAATGGTGATAAAAAGAAATCAAACACTTATCCTGCCTCTCCACCTGAAATGGACCACTGGAGACGTTCCACGGCACAAAGAGTGGGGAAGTGATACCGCGAAGACGCGACTTAGCGACCCTGATGAATCGAGAACGTGGCGCTTGAGCCGCCAACGCCAAGAACACCAAACACGACTCTCCGCTTTAACGACGAGCACGCCACCCCCCTGCAGCAGGCCCGCCGCCGGCACACAAAGCCATCTCCAGAACCCTATTGCTCCCGACACCTGGCACACAGAGACGTCGCGGAACACGCCACGGGCGCCACCGAAACGCACACAGCAAACCAAAAGGCATATGAGAGAACCCCAGGTCGGGGGGCGACAAAGAGGGTCCCTATAAATTAAAGGAGAGAACAACAGAGCAGACAGAACTACAGTTTTCTAAATTCGCAGCATATTTAATAAGGATTTCTAAAGGTAAAAGTCAAACCAACTTGAAAACAGTATTAGCTACACGCACGCCAAACAGCTAACTTCCTTCGTGCACAGAGACAGGCGTAAGACCAATAACCCCGATAAAAAATGAGCATACAAAATGAGGGTGAATTCACAGAAAAAAAAAAAAAGAAGTCACAAGGCCTTTAAACCTGAGAAGACTTCAACCTTTCACGTAATTTTTACACTGCAAATTCCAAATGAGACACCACCTTGCACGCATCAGACCGGCAACCCTGTCACTCGGTGTGCTCCAGGCGTCCGCGGCGGGCTCCGCGGGGCGTCGGTGGGAGTGGAGACCAGCAGGACTCCGTCAAGAGCGGCAGGCGAGAGCAGTCAGAACGCGGCTGGCCACGGCCCGGACCCTGCGCACACCCTTCGGGAATCCGTCCAGCGCCCATATTCACACGTATGTGCGAAGATCTACAGCCACAAAGACCCAGACCAGCTAAGGTGCTGCTCGGGAAGCAAAGGAAGGGACGCAGCCAACACATACAGTGACAGGAGTTCCCACGGGACACTCACAGCCACACAACGGGACACACCGAAACAGCCACATGAAAACACAGGCCGGATCTCTCTAAGAACCAGCTCCCAAGATGCTGAATTACACGAGTGTAGACGGAGCAAAGGGTATAGCGTGTGTTCTTGTCTTCAAGAGCTATGCTAGACACACACACCAATTACTTCTGGGACGTAAGAAGGAAAGGAAATTATTTTCCCGTTTATCCTTTTATAATATGTGCATTTTTATCCTGTGCATCTATCATCTTTTCAAAAAGAAAAAGCACTTTTTAAAAATGGTCATCTAGGGGCAGCTGGGCGGCTCGGTCAGTTACGTGTCTGACTCTTGATCTCTGCTCGGGTCTTGATCTCAGGGTCGTGAGTTCAAGCCCTACGTGGGGTACCAGGCCTACTTAGGAAAAAGAAGAAAAAAAAAGAAGAAAAGCCAGTCATCTAAACACACAGGCATAAACGGCCGGGGAACTCCACCATCCCAGCCCCTGCCGGAGAACAGCGCTCTCCCGGCACTGGTGCTCACCCCTCCGAGACCTGGTGGTCCGGGCAGACACCGGCGGAAGCACGAGGGCCTATCAGACTGGACGGGTCTGGAAACAGGTGTCGTGCCACCTCTGTGTCCTCTGAAGATGACCTCTAAGTACAGATTAACTGGCGGTCAGTCTGAAGGTCGGAGCTAGTCATGCCATAAACTCGGTCTTCTTTTGCCCAAATCGAGACCCAAGCAAAGATTACTGAAGGATGCGGCAAACGGGTCGGCGAAGGCGGCAGACCTCAGGGAGAGAGCACCACCCAACAACCAACCTTTGAATTGGTGGGTTTAAAACGTTTTCGGGTCACTGACTGCTTTCAAAATCTAAAAAAAAACAAAAAACAAAACAAAACAAAAAAACCCTGTGAACCGTTTTCCAGGAAAAAAACACAGAGAGACAAAATTCTGCCAAATTTCAGAGCCTCACAAACACCAATGGTGACAGCCTATCTCAGTAGCTGCTCCACCGGGGCTCAGTGTAAGAGCCACAGTTTACCGGGACACGTGGCCTCAGGACGACTGCCCTCCCCCGCAGCCACTCCAGCAGCACACCTCGGCCAAGGATCCGGGTCCCTCCGACGGGGTGTAAGCGCAGACGTGGCACAGGGCAGCTTCCGGGACACCTCGTGAAAGGGCAGCTGGTATGTGGCCACAGCCCTCCTCCCTGCCCTCCGGCTGCCAGACTCCAGGCATGAGGATGGGACGGAAAGGACTAGAAGGCTGGAGCAGAGAGCAGGACAGGAGCTGCCACATGTCCCTGCACTGGTAGCCTCAGACGTCCCCCACCAGAAGGGAAACTCACAAGCCACCTGCTCTACAACAGCGAGTTCCAGAAGCCGCCGCACGCTGCCAGGCTTAACCCAGGTGTGACGCCGGGACGCCCGTTCATGACAGCCCAGGGGCCACAGGTCCCAGGCCAAACAGCTCGCTCACCAAGGGCTAATGAAAAGTTTTCAGACGCCCAGTTCAAGCCTCTTCCCGGTCTTCCAAAATCTGCAAGCAGCTTGAGAAAATACTCCAAGCTCGCCATAAAATCCCCAGCCCTGAGCTCTTCCAAATGAGGACGCCACACGCTATCCAAGTTGTTTACTCAAGACGGTTCTGTTGCCAGGACAGAGTCATTTAAAATTCTGCTAACAGTGAAGGTTTGAACAGAAAAAACTAGGGCAACAAGCCCAAGAAAACTGGAGCAGAGCGGAACATGCGGTTGCCATTTTGGCAAATTAGATCTACCATTTCTCAGAAGTCCTGGAGACAATCCAGTCCTAATACAATGAAGCAGCTGGGCTGAGATTAACGCTCAATAACGTCTCTGACAACGACGAGGAGCTGGCCCCTAGCACGCCTGCGGAGGGGGCGTCCTCCCCGGCACACAGGAAGTCCAGAACCCACCAAGCAACATCAACGGCCCAAGTGCTTGATCTTGGGGGGGGATGACGGACGAGCGACGGCACAGCACGCCCTGAAACAGCACCCTCATCACTGTGAGTGAGGCGGGTTTAACGATTAGAACAAG